CCCAGTTCCCATCTGCTCCCCGAGGCCCTGTCAGCTCCCCCAGCTCCCATAACCTACCCTCCAGGTCCCCTCCCGCAACATCCTAGGTGGAGGATCTGCCCTCCCAGGGTCCCCCAACCTGCAGAGAGACGCTGACACCTCCGGCTGATTCTCCAAAGATGGTGATGTTGTCGGGGTCTCCCCCGAAGGCCGCAATGTTCCTCTTCACCCACACGATGGCCATGTGCTGGTCCCGAAGGCCATAGTTACCTGGGTGGATGGGGAGCCCATCAGGGACTGGGGTCGGGGGAGAGCGTCCTCCATGTGGAGGCCCCTGTCAAGCCCCAGGATGACGCAGGGCAGGTACCAGGAGGCTGTTGAATGAAGTGCTGGAGGGGGTGTGGGGCTCAGGTAAGGGACCAGGAGCAGGAGGGCCAGGCTGCTCATCTCTCTCCCTGACACCGTCCCTCCTGTCTGTCCCATGGCCCTGTGTCCCCCTAGTCACCACCTCAGTGTCTCATCTTCTGTCTCTCACTGGGTCCCTGTCCCTGCTCCCTAGTGTCCCTGGCTGCCAGGCTGGAAGCGTCTTCTCTCACTATAGCTGCCGATGGGCTCCTGTGTCTCACAGTCCATCCCCAGCTTCCTGCTCTGCCAGTAGAATTCTGGGTCTCTCTGGGAGTTGTTGGGAGAAAGCAGTGCTGAAGGGACCCCCAACTGCTCCCTCACGCCAGCCCACGGCGCCCAGCACACCTGGCAGGTTGGCGTCTCCAGTGCTGAGGAAGCCCAGTGCCCCGAGACGGTAGTTGAAGGTGACCAAAATGACGTTGCCCCGTGTGGCGATCTCCTCCCCGTCGTACTCATAGTTATTGAAGAAACTTTTATCGTGGGCAGACCCCAGGAGGAAGCCTCCTCCATAGATCCAGATCATGACAGACAGGTTCTGGGAAACTGAGGCAGGAGAGCAGGCCCCATGACCTCAGCTGCCCCTCCCTATCCCCTCTGGGTGCTTGTTTCAGGGAATTTCAGCTCTGGAGCCCACACACAGCCAAGGGGCTGGGCAGGGCTGGGCCTCTGGCTGCCTGGGCGCTTCATGCAGGCTTGGGGACCAGGAGGGCATGGGGTGGGGGGATGCACCTTCCTTCTGGCCCTGGGGGACCCAGATGTTGAGGTAGAGGCAGTCCTCAGAGCCCTCGGTGTCGTCCTGGGCGAGAGTGACTTGCAGGCATGGCTGCTTGAAGTCCTTGGCCTTCAGGGTCCCTGTGGGTGACCAGAGGGGCTGGCGTGAGGATCGTGGCCCCACCCGCCACCCCAGGCCCAGAACCAGCTCAGCACCCACCCACCCACTCCCACCTTGCCATCCGGGGTGCGGCTGGGGGTTCTCCAGGGCCTTGGGTGGGGCAGCAAAGGGGATGCCCTTGAAGATGTCCACAGAGCGGCCGCCGATGCCAAAGAGGCCCAGCTTCTTGTTGAAGCCCTCCACGAAGCCCCCTTCTGTGGGCACCACACCCAGCTGGGGAGAGGGCCAGGCTCAGGGGGCGCAGGCCGGCCGGCCAGTGGGGTGTGGTGACCCCAGCAGGCTCAAAGGGCCCTGACACAGCTACAAGGAGCTTCCCCTAGTAACGCCTGCCTGTAGTGTGGGTTCATGTGGAAGCCCCGCTCCTCACACCATGGGCAGGGCCTTGAGGAAAGGGAGCCTGTCTCTGCCCTGAGGCTCCTGAATCAACATGGAGGGACCCCGGCCACTCCGAAGCAGGTGGGTGTAGCTCCCTCTCGGGGCCTGGGGGCGGGGTAGACTGAGGTCCAGACTCCTGTTCCGACGCTGGGGGCTGTGATGGGCAACCTGCTGGGCGGCTCAGGGCCCAGCTCCCTTCTGTGCAGGGCCATCCCCGGACAGAGGAACACCCTGAGGGCCCTGGTGGCCAAGGGGGACTCTGCACATCAGCACTGAGGACGCCAGTGACCTGGGGTTTTGTTTGTGTTTGGCGTCAGTCACCCTGTGTGCCCTGAGAGCGCCTGTACCAGAACTTATTCGTGGTTTCTGACGTTCAAGTTCGCGGGCGTCCTGTATTTGAGCTGCGTCTGGACCATCGTGTGAGTGCGGATGCAGGAGCAGAGGAAGGGCCAGGAAAGTGCCTGCTGGCTGTGGGCTCTCCGGGGCTCCTCCTGCCAGCGCCTCACCTGCCTGCCCCCCTCCCCTCCGCGGTGCCTGACCCAGTTCCCAGGCCGGGTTAGGGGAGCAGACAGGGGCCCCTCCTCGCCCGCTGGGCTCTCGCTTACCGTTGCTGCGCTCACTACTGCCAAGCAGCAGGCGAGGCCTAAGACAGCCAGCTCCAGGCGCCCCATGGTGCGTATGCCTGCCTCAGGGGCCATGCCTCTGCTCCTGGGTATTTATGGGGCGGGACATCCGGGAGACATCCGGGAGCCGCGGGGGCTGGCAGCTGTCTGTGGATAGTTCCCTTCCCTTCCTCCTCCTTCCATCCTTTCCTCCAGGCAGGATAGCTGCGATTTCAGCCAAGCTCAGGGCCAAGGTCATGCAGGAATTGGTAGATTTCAAGTTCAGAAAGGAATCCACCTGCACTAAGTGGGGGAGTGTGGACAGATCAACGCTGCCACTGGGGAGGCGAGGCGGGGAGCACTGGCCAGTGGCCTCTGTTGGGGACTTTGCATTCTGTTCTCCAGGGCCGGGGCCTTCCTTTCCCGGATTGGAACCCTCGGGGAACCTGTCCTGAGAAGGCCTCTCTGGCGGCGTTGTGTCTGGGGAAGTGTGGAGAGTGGTTACAGCGTTTGGACAGGTTCAAACCTCAGACTAATGAGAGGGCAGGTCCTCTCAAGGCAAAGCCACATGCAAGTCCCTGCTTGGAGGACAAAGCCCTCCCAGCACAGTTAGAACCAAAGGCTATAGTTATAAACTTGACCTTATGGTCCGAACCTGTGGTCCCAGGTGGCAAAGTGATAGAGGCTGGGGAGATGCAGCACTGATAGAGTTCAGGTGCATGTAACTGAGTAGATTCCAAACCTGTGAGACACTGTAAACATCTTGGCCACATCCTTACTTTGTCTCATGGGATCTGGCTATTAAACTAAAGACTCAGCTTGCAGGCTGTGGCCCTGTCTCTTCATCTGAGAGCAGCGTCCCACCCAGCCCCAGCTTTACCTCTTGTCTGTCGTCTTCCTCCTTCAGCTCCTCCCCTCAGG